CATATATATATATATATATGTGTGTATATATATATATCTCACTAGAGTTCCTGGATTTCTTTTATTATATGAAGAATTTCACTCTTTAAATTAGCCTTTTATATTAAAAGGGTTTAAGGAATCTGAAGTTTTGTTAAAGTTAGATATAACCTTTTACCTCTTTCAGTTTTGCTACATATTAGCCAAACTTCAGAATACCTCTTATTAACATATCAGTTTAATATTCTTTCATGGATAATTTTAATTTTAACAGGTCCTGTTCACTAGATTAGAAAATTAAGAATGTGTATGTATACGTATGTGTATACATATACATATATATCAATGTCATGAAATTTCAGAAACACTTTTCATTTTAAAGCAAAATTAAAAATATGAAGTGCTAAATCATTAAAATGTAACTAAGAAGAAAAGTTGTTACTGTACATTTAAATTTTCTCCATGTTGTGGGAAATCTTGTAATAACTTACAACTATGATTAAAGAAAGGAATAAATAAGTCTTAACCTATGTCTGTTAATTTAATGATTACTTTTTGGGATTAGTCAATGTAAAATGATTGTATTTTAACCCTTGTTATTAATAACATGTGTTGTGGCTTTGTGCTTTGCATAATTCATATGTATATGTTGTATTTTTACTCCTTGGATTAATACCTAAAATGTTTTAAGTCACTGAACAAATCTTTTGTTGTAATGAATGCCTCCTTTCTTTTGGTGGTATATTTTCCTTAAATAACAACTTTTCATTTCTATAATTAAACATTTAATTGTTGAATAGTACATGTTTTTATAATTTTACCTAGTATATATATAAGCTGCTGCTATTTTTCAGATAATTTTTTAGAAACTAACATTGATATTAAAAATATATGATTTGTTGTTTAGTTATCAATTTTTAAATACTAGAAATTTTATAATTGCCTTTTATGTTATAAACAATAAAAATTTGATACAAAGTACTTAGTACATTAAAAATAAATGTGCTTATAATCAAGATAGTCTTTAAAAGGTAAGTGAATTTTTACTTTCTCTCTTTCAGGTTTTTTTTAGGTATATATATATATTTATATATATATATATATGAAATATGAAACATAACATAATCAAACTGTTGCAACAAATGTTCTTTAAATAAATTTATATTAATCTCTGTATTTTCCCACTAAGTCTCATTTAAGTGATTCATTTTCCTACATGTTTTTATTCCCTACATAGAATGAAGTTATATTTGATAAGACAAATAATGAGTACTTCAGTGTGTTCTGGGACTGGTGATGTGCCTAGAAGAAGTAAAGAGAGTATTCTTTTCCATTAAAGATTGTTGTTGTTTTCGCACAAAAATAAGAAACTTGTTTTTAAAAAATGAAAGTTCAATACTTGAACCCTCTTGATTCTGGCACTTTCCCTCAAAGTGTTTTTTTTAAAGAATAGATTTCTGTTGCA